GTTGTTTGTACATCAGCCTCTTTCATAGAGCATTTATTTTTATTTTTTTTAAAGATTTTATTTATGAGAGAGTGTGAGAGAGCGAGAGAGAGCATGAATGGGTGGAGGGGCAGAGGGAGAAGCCAGCTCTCTGCTGAGCAAGGAGCCCTATATGGGGCTCCATCTATCCCAGGACCCTGGGATCATGACCTGAGCTGAAGGCAGATGCCTGACTGACTGAGCCACCCAGGCGCCCCCTTCATAGAGCATTTAATCATCTCTTTACTTAGTGTCTCTGGTTCCTTAAAATTTAATACTAATCACATTAGAATGGGGCCTAACTTTTAGGCTGGCAGGGGTTGGGCAGTTCATTTAGGGTTATGCTTATGTGTAGCAATCCAAGTTCATTTCTGGAATCCTAGTGTCTGATTTGGCCTCTTGGGGAAGAAGGCGAGGCTTAAAAATTGAGTCTACTACAGGTCTGCTCTGGGTGACTGACTCTTCAGGAAATGCTTAATCTCTCTTGCATGCCTAATAATGTAGGCCCTTCTCTTTTCCTCACATGCTGTAGAAGATGGCAGTGAACGTATATTCAACATCAGTCACCAGTGATAACCTAAGTCGACATGACATGCTGGCCTGGATCAATGAGTCTCTGCAGCTGAATCTGACGAAGATCGAACAGTTGTGCTCAGGTAAGAGAAATCCACTAGACCATTTTTCCAGGGAAGCCTGCAGGTCCTTCAGGAATGGACAGGCCTGTATCTGACTGCAGAGGCCACAGGTTCAGGTTCTGTGTCAGGCTGCCCTGTTTCTTCCTTTCAGCCCACCCCAGTTCCACTTCTGGAAGGAAACTGTGCTGCGAGAGAGTGTGCTTCTGTGCCACCATCTTTACATTCCGACGCCTCCACTTAGCCCAGCTTCTCCGTCTGCACTCTTGTGCATCCAGATTTGAAATGTTCTCTTTGAAGATGACAGTTGTAACTGTTCTAGCTTTATATTAGTTTTATCAGTGGCATGTCTTATTCCCAGGCAGCACAAGACCAAAGTCACGCAAACGCCATTTGAGCCACAATTTTATTGAACTGTTGTTTAATAAGGATTTTACGGAGAGGTAATGATTTAAAACGAGAATAGAAACGTGGTGTTTTTTTTTTTTTTTCTCTGTGTATACTAATTGACATTTAAAGAACTAGAAAGAAGAAAATAAAAAATGTTGGTAGTTCCATTATTCAGAGAAATAATGTTGGGATATTTTCTTTCACTTTTCTCTGCACATATATATTTGTGTATATCCCAGCTTTTTTCACGTAACTATATTGAGGACATTCTCTAGTGTCATTCACTATCATAAAAATAACTTATTTTTAATGGCTCTGTGCTATTTCTGTGGATATGCTAGAGTTGTTTAATATCTTCCTGATTTGGGAACATTTAGGTGGTTTCTAATTTTTCCATAGTGAATCCTAGAAATGGAATTACTAGATCAAAGAGTATGAACTCTACGCTCTTGGTAATTATTTTTCATGAAGATGTTATTTGTTTATACTTCCTCTGTAGACTTCCTGTCTCACCTTTGGGGGTTCTACTGACTGCCCTTGACTGTCCTCACATGGTATGGATTGTGTTGGGATTACCAAAACTGGGTCTACCAAAGATAAGGTGGGGTTAAGAATATGCCAGAAGGGGCGCCTGGGTGGCTCAGTCGTTAAGCGTCTGCCTTCGGCTCAGGTCATGATCCCAGGGTCCTGGGATCGAGTCCCCACATCGGGCTCCCTGCCCCGCGGGAAGCCTGCTTCTCCCTCTCCCACTCCCCCTGCTTGTGTTCCTGCTCTCGCTGTCTCTCTCTCTGTCAAATAAATAAATAAAATCTTTAAAAAAAAAAAAAAAAAGAATATGCCAGAAGGATGAGATGTACACCTTGCTGCTACTTCAATTCTTATCTTATTTGTGGGAGAGAAGTAGAATTATTCCTGGGTGTAACAACAACAGTCATTTAATTGAACACTTAATGTGCCAGGGTCATGTAAATGTTTTTCTGATATCTCTTCATGCAGTTCTCACTATAGCTCCCATGAGGTAGAGATGTTTATTAACCCCAGTTTACAGATGAGGAAACGGCTTAGAGAAACTGAGTAACAAGTCCCGGGTTATACAGCCAAGAACAGAATTGAGACTTGAATCTTTGTTCAAATCAAGAGCTGATGTTTTTCAATCCCCATGCCCTACTCATTCTTCAGACTTTTCCTTTACCGGTGCCATTTGGATTTATTTATTTATGATTTTATTTTTAATTAATGTCTACATCCAACGTGGGGCTTGAACTTGCAACCCTGAGATCAAGAGCACATACTCCACCGACTGAGCCAACCAGGCGCCCCCATTTGGATTGGTTTAAAATTACTGCCTTCAGGGCGCCTGGGTGGCTCAGTTGGTTGCATGTCTGACTCGTGATTTCATCTCATGGCAGGATCTCAGGGTCATGGGAATGAGCCCTGCGTCGGGCTCTGCGCTCAGTGGGGAGTCTGCTTGAGAGTGTCTCTCTTTCTCCTTCTACCCCTCCCCCTGCTTGTGCATGCTCTCTCTCCCAATAAATTTTAAAAAGTAAAATTACTGTTTTCATTTATGTGATTTTTAAAAATAAAATGAATTCAGCTTCTGTACTTCCTTATTTTATAGCTGGATCCGAGTCTTGCTCTTAGTTTCATTTGCTCATCTTGTTACATCCTCTGTGAGGTTTAATCTCCATTTTGCAGATGGTCAGGGGGAGGCTCCATATGAAGTTGTATAGTGAAAAGATGGTGCTCCTGAGTCATGCTAGTTTCTCACTAGTTACTTTAGTTGTAGCAGGCACAGGTTAGTTGAAGGCACAGGTTGTTAGCCTTAGATCTGTGCTGCCTTCCCCCCAGTTTTTGTTTGTTCCCTCAGTCCCATCACCACATCCCCATTTGTTTGAGGCTCTTAAAGCACTTTTTTGCCCTGTGATTTGTGACTAATGTGGGGATGAGGTCATCCCAATTTTCATTGGAGCCAGCTTTTTCACCAGCAATTTCTCCCTAAAATTTACCTCTTTCCTTAAATATACTCTGAAATATATTTCACTTAATTAGAAAATTAGATCTCTCTCTTTTTTTAAAGATTTATTTATTTTTAGAAAGAGAAAGGGAGAGAGCGTGTGGGCATGGGTGGGGGAGGGGCAAAGGGAGAAGGAGAGAGAGAATCTCGAGCAGACTCCTGGCTGGGCTGGATCTCACAATACTGAAATCATGACCTGAGCCAAAATCAAGAGTTGGATGCTAACCGCCTGAGCCATCCGGGTGTCCCTAGATATCTTTTCATGTGTAGATGAGTGGTACATGTATGATCTGGCTCCAGATCAGACAGGGAGCTGTTGTGGATAGTCAAGACTGGGCATGAAGAGGCTGAATTCAGTCTGCTGTGAGCCGTAATTTTGGACAAGTCCCTTAATGTTCTAGTTCCTCATTTGTAAACTGGAGTAGTAGGACCAGGCCCACCTGTAAAAATAGCTCTCAGATACTGATTCTGTGCCAGACCCTGGATGTGAGCGTAGCTCTCTCAAGGGAGCGTGCATATGCTTCTCTTACAAACGAGGAGACTGTCCGTGGAGCACAGCTTTATGCATTACAGACCCGGGTTTTGAACCCAGATCTTTCTTTTTTTTTTTTT